GATTCCCGTGTGGTCGTGGCTCCCCAAGGCCCTGCTGCGCAGCTCGGCATGGCTTTGATTTGCTTCTTGGCAAGCGAGATCAGAGACGCAATTGATGTGAGGGGGGGAAAAATAAAAAGAATTTTTAAAAAGAGAGGAAAAGAAAATCGCAGCCCCAGCCGCCCACTGAGTCCCAGCGTCGGCGTCCCCGGCAGAGCCAGGAATGAGCTGTAAAACCAGCAATGGGGGTGTGGGTTGGTCTGGGAGCGTCGCCGAGCCTGGGATGGGAGATGGGGATTGCTGGCTGTGGTGGAGGGCACCTAAACTGGGAGGAGTGGGGCTGCACTGGGTGCTTTTTCCAAATCCAGATGGATCCTGGAGATTTTCCCTGGCTCGGCAACGGTGGGAATGCAAAGAACAGCTGGAGGTTGTGCCAGAGATGCCATGTACCCCACAAAAAAAGTCTGCCCAAGTCTCATCACCGTACCAGGGGAGTGGGGGGGTCTCACCAGGTTCTTGAAGAGTGCGGTGACCTCGCGGGTGAAGACGGCCAGGTTGAGGAAGCCAGTGGAGAGCTCGTGGTTGTTCTGCGAGAGGTGGTTGTTGCCGAAGGTCTCCAGGGCCTCACTGTACTGCTCCTCATTCTCCACATGGGCTGTGGGGGGAGGCACCACTGAGGGACACAGGGTGGCCCCACAGCACCCCGGCCCCACAGACAGTTACACCATGAGGTCCCACCAGCACCATGTCCCCATTCCTCCGTGGCAGAGCTGGGCTGATCCTGCTGCAGGACAGCAGCAGGGTGCCCTAAACAACCTCCAAAACCTTCTTGATCCCTCTTTTTAAGGCAGTTTTGAGCACTCTATCATATGGCCCATGGCCACCCAACTGCATCACCCCACGGACAGATGTGACCAGCACTGGTGGTGGATGGCACCGTCACAGACCCCGGGGATGCCCATCAGCTCTCGAAGCACAACTCACTCAGCCCGGAGACGTGAATGGCTTTCACATATTTCCTGATCCTCTGGAGTACGGCTTGGTCCCCGTCCAGGCTCTGCGAAAGCGAGAAAAGAAAACAAACGGAGCTCCTTAGCCCTGCCAAGCGCGGCCGCCGCTCCCCCAGCCCAGCTGGCCCTTGCCATGCAGATGTGCAGGGCAGCGGCCAAAATGGGGCTGGGAGAGGAGCCGGAGGCATCCCAGGGACACCGGAGCCGCAGTGTCCAGCCCATCCCCTGCCAGGACCACGGTTCCCATCGCTTTGGCTGACAGAGAGGGTTTCGGCTGCCCTTGGAGAGTTGGGGGCGAGCAAGAGGGGAGCAGGCACAGCCGGCATCACTTTGGATCCCAGCAGCTTCCAGTAACCATGGAAAATGCCTCCCTGGCTCTCATGGGGGCTGTTTCAACCAGAGAGGGGGTGAAGCATCACGGAGCAAGGATACGCCAACCCATCCCCACACCTTGGGGACAGGCACAGCAGGAGAGACCTGCAAGGGTCCGCAGCTCCACAGTGGAGCCAAAAATGGGACCCACCTCCTACTAATGCCCAACAGGGACCTAAACCACATAAATCCTGCAGCTGGGGACGTGGCTTTCCATGAAGCCCCCAGCTCATGCAAGGTCTTGGCCGTGGAGTTTCCCACAGACTCCTCTGGCCGCATCCTGTGCTCCCCATCCCCAGCCTGGTCCCCACCATCTTCGCTCCATCCCTCCTTACCCAGGCAGCCCCACCGAGCACCGGGGCAAACTCAACCCCAATCCCAACACCGACTCAATGCAAACTCAACCCCAACATCAAATCAACGTCAACTCGCCCGTGGTGCTGCCCACAGAGCATCGTAGCCGAACGTGTACCAGCCCCAGTCATCAGCAAAGGGTTAAGGGTGGCTTGGCTGCAGGTACCCGAGGCATGATAACAGGCTGGAAATATTTAGAGGGCGTGAACGGCAAGAAGGGCGAGGGATGAAACCGCGGAGGAATTACAATAAAGAGGCTCTCTCTCTTGCTCGTGCTCTTGCCGAAGGTTTTGGGGCTGATGTCAAGGCCGATTTCCTGACAGCGGGGTCAGCCTGGCTTCGGCACCGCTCTCCAAGGCCCTCCTCGTTGGATGCACGGATGACCCTTGGCCAGGACGAGCCGGCTGGGAGGGGACTGGGGCCGAGACGGGGGCCAAACCCTCTGCCCGAAGGGGCCCTGCAATGCATCTACAACAGGGATGATGTTGGGGGGGCCCAAAGCCCCCCTTCTCTGCACTAGATCTGGGCATCCCAGGCTCTCCGGAGCTGCAGGCTGGGGCAGAGACATCCCCTGCCTCAGTTGTGGGGAGGAACTTAAGGGCTGGATGACTGGACACCCCAGACATAGCCTCAGGAAGGGGAAACTGAGGCAGGATGAGATGCAAGTAGGGGAAGAAGCTGCTCCGAGTGCCCAGGATGGGGCAGCTCAAACCAGAGCCAGCTCATGGCACGGGGGGTTTGGGGACAATCTGGGGACAGGCATGGTGGTTTTGGGAAGGGATCCGCAAGCCGACCAGTGGGGATGGGGCAGGCAGAGCCGGGCACCGGGGTGGAAATCACTGCATAGTGCTGTCCTGGCTGCAGGCACCATGGCATCCCTGATGTACTGGCCTGGGGAGAGCCCTTGGGAGCGGGGCACACAAGGGATTCCCCATGGGGATGGAGGGAAGGATGGAGCCACATCTGCACCCCAGCCACTGGGCTTGCAGCCTGGAGACCCCGAGCAGCCACCACCACCCCCCGCCCGGCCCCACAGGATGCTCAATGGGGGCCATTCTTCTGCCTCCCCCCGCCGCCAGCTCGTGCCGCACGGCGAAGGAGACGCCACGGGTGCCAGGACCAGGGTGGTGGCACTGCCGGGCTGGGAGCAGGATGCGGCACTGCCCTGGGTGCAAAGGGCAGAGCATGGCGGGGACGCGGTGTTGTTTACACGGGGATGGGGTGAGCCGGGAATGTGGTGCCAGCTCTGCCACTGAATGCACTGGTGGCCTCTGCCATGTCACCCTGTCCCAGCCCTTGGTGCCCAGTCCTGTGTGACATAGACATGGCACCAAAGGCTGGATCCAACCTTCCAGCCCCCTCCAGAGACCTCAGGTTCTGTCTCCACAGCGGCCCCAAGGACCCTGAAGTCACACGAGAGCACTCTGTAATCCCAGGAGGGAAACTGAGGCACAGAGTGGCTCCAGCTAACACCAGTATGTTTCCTCAATGGAGAGCACCAGCCCACTCACCCGCATCACTCCTGTCCCCTCACCAAGCCATCAGTGGGGGTTTGGGGTGGTGACAGGGACCACCAAGGCTCAGTTTGGTCACGGAGTCTCACCCTCCCTAAAGCCACTGCTGTCTGACCCCCATGAGGGGTCCCTGCAGCCCTCAGCGAGATGGGGGGGCTCAGCCCCATGTCCCCCTACAACAGTGACCGTAACTCCCAGCTCTCAGTCACAGTTCCTGGAGTTTTCCTAAGCCAACCCTGCAGAGACCCTCATCATTCTGGGGAGACGCCTCTCCCCCCATCCCCATCCCCCTTATCCACGCCACTGCTGTCTGACCCCCATGAGGGGTCCCTGCAGCCCTCAGCGAGATGGGGGGGCTCAGCCCCATGTCCCCCTACAACAGTGACCGTAACTCCCAGCTCTCAGTCACAGTTCCTGGAGTTTTCCTAAGCCAACCCTGCAGAGACCCTCATCATTCTGGGGAGACGCCTCTCCCCCCATCCCCATCCCCCTTATCCACAGCAGCCAAACCAAATTCCGGCTGCCGGGAGCTGCCCTCCTCTTCCCAGCCGAGAGGAAAAACCATGGCAGTGGCCAGCACATGCTGGCGGAGACCAGGATGCTCTATGGTGCATCCCCAAATTTCCAGCCTGGGGACACCCACCCCGCTGCCCCCGGCATCCCCGGCGCCTGGGCCGCCCCCCCAGCCCTGGCTCTCCTTCAAAGCCATTCCTTCCCCACCAGGAGTTGGCAAAAGC